TTAACTAATTGGATAAGAACTGCATTAAATAGACGTTTCAAATACTTTTTAGCGATTTTGGCTAGGACTCATAACAAAAAACTTATTAAAGTTTTGCTAGAATTATATTCACGTGAACGACCTTATACAATAAATCTTACCGAATTTCATTCTAAAATGAACTATACATAACGAATAAATTTGTTGAGATATTTTATGTTTAGCCAAATATATTGCATGTGACAGGATATCTGAATCAGGATATAGTTGCGAAATTATTATAAACATTGATTTGTTAATTGTGTTAATGGCTGTCGTATCTACAAACATAAATACTGTAAATGTCAAAAGTTTAAACTTTTAAATATTAAACTATAAATATCTAACCATTAGTTATATTTCCATCAGTCATATGGATTATACAAAACGGATTGCTTTCCATAAATAGTTTGTATAATATGTCACATTTTTTATTATTCATAGCATCAAATACTGAATTAAATTCGTTGACTCCAATAATGGGTTTATTTGTCATAAATGTCTGCAATTGTAATAAAATGTGCCAACATTCGGGTCTTTGCCTCCAATCTGTTGAACCGTTTTGTGAATACATACTAACACTCATTGACACCAATAATGCATTCATTTTATTCATCCATTCATTCATATCTTTATTATATTTTTCTATATAATTAATTCTATAATTAAGTGACAATTTGCATTAAGAATACTTTAGTTTATTGATAGAATATTTATATAAAATGAAACGTACTTTCCGTTCATTATATCTTTTCTATTTAAACCAAAATTTTTGGCCCCAATTAGAGATAGACTGTAGATATCTATCAAATGATTATAATCTTCGCCCATAGCTTCCGGGGCCTGATATCTGGCATCTCCCACATCATCGGACATAAGATATGAATCGGTTTTAAAGATCTCTTTAGCCAAACCAAAGTCACATAACTTTATGCGTCCTCCCATTGAGATCAACACATTATCCGGTTTGAGGTCTCTATGAATGATATGTTTTTCGTGCAAATATTGAACACATTTTGTGAGTTCACGAAATATATGATACGATAAATAAAACTCAGAAATAGTCATCAATTCATTAAACAATGATTTCTTAGTTTCCAAAACATTGTTGAGATTATCGATACATAAGTCCATTTGAAAGTAAAGACAATTGCATTCAATCCATGAATAGTAGTATTCAATCACAAACTCTGACCGAAGTTTCACAAGATTTTGCGTTTCATTCAAAATATTTTGTACCTCTTTTTCTGTCAATCCTTTAGAAAAATCCAAACATAATTAAAATGATTATAAATATGGCAAATATAAAATTCAAAATATTTACCATTTAATGAACATTTCTTTATTGCATAGAATTTATTGTCACATTTATTTTGAACTTTATATACCACTCCATAGCCACCCTCACCAAGCTTATTTATTACATCAAATGACTTTTCAAATGATATTGAATTATTCAATTTATCGTTATTTTCTATAATAAAACATTATATTAAATCACAATTAAGGCATTATTGTAATATTTACCAGAAATTTGTGCATTTTGTTGAATATGTGTTGAAATGGTATTTAAAGTGATTTGCCTTTCATTTAAAAAATAATCATCAAATGATGTATAATTGGTTTCAAACGCATATTTTCCAACAATTTCATATATTTTATTACCAGATCTGCACACTGGGTTCACACAAATTTCTGAGTTATGTTCTTGTTTGATTTCATTGAACACAAAATGTGACGATATTTTTAAACACTTTTTACGAAAGTCATATCGATATAAGTGATTATGGTTAGATAACAAATATGCACAAAAACAACCTTGTGGAAGTGCATTTTGTATTTTAATTTCAATTTCTAATAGATATGGTGTTTTTATGATATTCAAATCTACCTGTCCCCATATAAGCACCTGTCCCTCACAAGTAAGAGCAAGTGATGTGCACTCATTGCATTCTATTTTACTAATTTGATATTCAGTGACAAATTCAACAGGAGTTGGATCTAATTGAATACTTTTATCGCCGCAACCAACCTGTCCCCTTTTATTACTCCCCCACCCGAATACCTGTCCATTTGATGTCAACACAATTGTGTGAAAATTACCACAACTTATTTGTGAAATAATTAAATTGTTTGTTTGGAAATATAATATAGTATCCGGTTTATGGTATGCATTCTCATCCATATCCACATGCCGTCCCAGTTGTCCCTCATCATTGAGACCAAAACTGAATATCACATTATTATCCGTATTGACAGCCAATACAAAGTCATATCCACTGAAAAACTTATTTATATTTTGATGGCATAATTCTGGCACTCGTTGTGGTGTATGAATAGGTGTTTTGTGTCCTAACCCGAGCTGACCCTCATGATTAGACCCCAAGCCATACACCATATCATGAAATGTCACAAACAATATGTTATGTACCTTATAGTCACGGAAAACATAAAAATATTTAATTTCTTGTTTTAAATGTTGTGGTATTTGATCACAAATTTTATAATTATTAATTACAGTTGACATTTTAGTAAATATAATATTGTTAACAAATAATAATCATGAATATTATTTATATTAATTCAATAATCAATAAATATTTGTATAATAATTATACAAAATGGAGGCAATAATTATTAATTTGTATACAATTTACTCCACTATAGTGTATATAAATATAACAACACGTATCCTAACTTTATAAAGAAAAACAAATGTCCATAACATGATCATTGCTAAGTAAGTAATCAGCCAGGTTGTTGAGATTATTATATATTCTGTACAATAGCGTAGTGTATCTTATATTAATAACTTTGACAATCTATATACTGTACATACATTTTGTGTCTATTGTTTGATACAGAGCGCCCACGTGAAGAGTTACCAGGGGGAGTGGGGGTGGAGTGCAGTAGAACAGTAAACACATACATGTGCTTTGACTTACAATGCTGTGTTATCAATGCATTAGAAATGCTTTCAACCATTTGTTTACCATTGAATCTATGATCGCAATGAATGTCTGTCACAATTGTGGACAGCAACGGGTATTACCATTGATAACACATCCTATATGTGCAAAGAAGTACACAAATCTGGTGACACTTTGCGTGTTTTAAGTACACGAAAGTGAACAACAAATTGGTGTCAATCGTAACGAAACGGTTCTACCCCAAGACCTAAAACCGAAAAGACCTAAACTAAATTAACTAACTGACCAGTGGTCATTTGACTTAATTTAGGTTAGGTGAGGTTAGGACAAATCTATTCCACTCATCAAATTTCAAATACGACCACTGGTCAGTTAGTTATTTTAGTTCAGGTCTTTTCGGTTTTAGGTCTTTTCGGGTAGAACCGTTTATTATAATAAAGCACTTAAATATTAGTGTATAAATGGATATAACTTTTTAAGTATAACTTTGTGGACGAGTAGTCAAACCTATTCTAAGCATTCTTTCTTTCATTCAAATGATTACTCACAATATGTGAGAGGAACTGGAGGTCTGCCAACACCTGGATATTGGGGTTGGGATGGGAATAGTACTCAACAATTCTGTTCAACAGGTTATTCAACTGATTCTTTGAACAACTCTTCAGCACCTCTTCAATGGAAGTCTTGACAATTGTCACAAACTGTTCAAAAAAAGATGTCTGAAGGGGTCTGTGGGTTGTGTCAAACCCTGTCGTCATTTACTCTGCATTTGTCACTCAATTTCTGTGACAATCCTAATGATAGTCACCGACTATTCCTGGATATGAAACCATTGATGAGTAAACTGATGACATGTGGTGACAGTCAGACCGCCGTTAATATCGTCTCCGCTCTCAATGCCATCATTTCATGTGATTTGAGTCTATTTACTAAAGTAATCATAGGTTTTGGACAAATAATGCTTGATTTGATTCAAAGTAGAGATGATGTGATTGTGTTGAGTGTTGTTCAGGTGTTGAACCAATTGCTGTCAGATGAGATCAGATTATGATTTGCTTTCATGAGAAAATCAAATTCCCAGTTATGCTGCACTGGTTATCTAATTATTTAAAATTAATTCCTAAAATAAATAAATAGGGTTTCTGTAAGTGCTTTAAGATTTGTAGGTTGTCACAAATATGATTTTTAATTACGAATTCATTTTTATAAAATTTATTAAATTAAAAGCCACATAGTTTACAATAAATTTGTGATTGAAAATACAGACACAGAATTTCATAGAACCAATGATTAACTAAATAAAAAAATAAATAAAATTATAAACAAAAATGATTGAATCAAATAACAGAGAGATTGAGAACTAAGATAACAGTAATGATCAGANAATGATTGAATCAAATAACAGAGAGATTGAGAACTAAGATAACAGTAATGATCAGAAACCCGATAGAAACGGACCAATGATTAGGTTTATGTGAATTGAATAGATATATCTGTTCGTAGGTATAGTTTGTCTTCGCACCGGTATATACGGGCTGATAGTTATATATAAGTGAATCGGACTCCTCTTTGGCATTCACAATAGGATGGACTGATTTGCGACACTCGTCCACAAAAAAGTTGGACATGTATTGACTCACTTTAATGGCGCTCGAGTTATGAGGAATATTCTGATACTTTGCATTGTATGCGAATTCAAACAGATTCTTCTCGGGATGCCATTGAACCCCATATATGGGATAATTGGCATCTCTCGACTCAAACATTGATACATAATCTATACCATTCTTATCCTTATTCGTGGATAATAACCGAAGATTATTATGAAGTTCCGGTGTCTTATTAAAAGTTTCCAATGTTAAGCACTTTTTATGATAATTATAAGTAACTTCTTGTTCCTTAAGAACCTATTTATACGCAAAGAATATTCAAATTTATAACAGTATTTCACAAATTAAAATGAATTTAAAATTACTTCAACAATGGAGTTATCCTGAAGGAGTCTACTGTCTTGAATGGGCTCAACAAATGTCAAACTATTGGATACATCGATGGCATCGCAATCACTCAGAGTGTTGTTGGCGTAGAATTGAGTGATGAGTTCAAAGCCCAGACATGTGCCCCAAATCGGATACTTTCTGTCTTTAAACACTGTGGTCGACAATTGCCATAATAGTCGGCCGGCCTTTGCATAACCAGATGTTAACAAATCCTGTCCTCCGCCCGGAATCAACAGTCCGTTTGTCTTATTAATGATATCTCGATAGTAGTTCTCATCTTATAAGGTCGTTCACGTGAATATAATTCTAGCAAAACTTTAATAAGTTTTTTGTTATGAGTCCTAGCCAAAATCGCTAAAAAGTATTTGAAACGTCTATTTAATGCAGTTCTTATCCAATTAGTTAAAATTTATAAAAAA